TCAATGATATCATGTAATTTCAATTGTTCAAAACTTAACAATTTATTTCAAGGGCGGTAAATACGACTCTGGTAATCCCTAGGTCAGTGTCTGCAAGTAGACTATACAAGTGCTACGAAATTTTTATTTTTACCAGTATTAACCAGAAGGCTCAACACCTATTCGCGCGAGTTTTCAGTCTTTCACCCCGGACTCTCAGGCCAACTTATTCAATATCATCTACACCACCTATCAAGATTTACCAATGTATTTGCCCCAAAACCATTCCATGAAAACTTGTTTCTCAACATTCTTTTCTCAATGCAAGTTTTCAAATCAACTTTCAAAGTTTAATGTAATCAAATGAATTGATATGCCAATTTCACAAGATGAATATAAATATTTTTATTCCAATTCATCATCCAAAGAACAACACAATTTCCTCTTCTCAAGTATCCTCGACAATTAGTTATTTCAAGACTATTTCAACATTTTGAACAATAATTTTCAAAATGAACAACAATTCTCATATTCCCTGAAATTCATCATTTATATAAATATAAATAAGAAATTTTCAAAATATCCATTTATTTGACACAAAAAATAAATATAACAATATCATTCATGGATTTTCAGTCTCCTTTAAAAAAAAATTCTCAAATTCTAGGTTTTCTCATCAAAACTATACAACTCAAATCTTTTGAAAGAAAACTTTCCAAAATCATCTTTTCTTCAATCAACGAAGATCAATACCCATAAGATCATTTTAAAAGAATAAGAGACAAACCCACTTTCAAAATCGCTCAACTTCTTGAATCAACAATCAATTTTCAAAGCTATCGAAAGATGATTTCGAAAATCATATAGATCTTGCAAAAATATATATATATAACTCTAAGAAAATCCCTACCTCAAGTTTTGAAAAAGAAATGAGATGATGTGATGACTGGTTCAAAAGCCGTCTCGTTTCCTTTGAGTTGTGTCGGGTGAATGTTGTTGAAAATTCTTTCTTAAAATATTTTCTGTTGTAGTTGTCCTAATTTTTAGTTTTCACTTGTTTTGGAGGGTGCGGGGTCGACTTCGGAGTGTCGAGGAGAGAAGCTGAAGTTTTTTCAGGCTGGAGGGCCAGGGCCGCACGTGCGGGGCCTTAGGCCGCACGTGTGGGAAGGGGGCCGCACGTGCGGGAAGTAGGGGTTTGAGCTATGTGCACACTGCCTAAAAGGTAGGTACGAAAGTGAGGTGCGGGGGAGACCGCACGTGCAGGGGTGGTGGCCACACGTACGAGAGGCCACTTCGCAGGCGCAGGAGAAGGCGTCGCATGTGCGGCTAGACGCATTTTTTGTCTCATTTTTCGTGCTTTGCAGCTTTATTTGGCTCTTTTGACCCTTTTCACTTCATTTGAAGAATGTCTCTCTCTCTCTATACAATATTTCTCTCTTTTTCTCTCATCTCTCTCTACCTAAACCCTCAAAACTTTACATTTCTTTTGATCCCATGAAATCCATTGGGTTTTGGATACTAGTTCCTTATACCAAAACGATGAGCATGTCGAGGGCTTTGTCTTGACCGGTGGAGATCGTATTTCGGCGAAGTTGATTTTTGAGCTCTTTCTTCTCTTCTCTCTTGAGGTAGGGATTTCCTTACTCTTTTTCAATAACTCTTTTATAAATAGACATGTGGTACGTTTTTATTGCATAAAAACCATGTTGTTGTGGACTTTTTCTAAAATCATGAATGAGAATCTAAGATGGGTTGTGTGAGGTTGAGTGTAGACACCCTATTTTCGACCGACCTTAAGACTCAGACATCATTGATTGAGCGCTCGGTGATTGCACATGTTGTGCTCGTTTCGAGGTTTCAGAGTTTTGGCTGAGAGCTTTACCTTCGAGCCTCTGAACTCTTTATGCTTTGTCTCGGTTTGCAGACCAAACCTTGTTTTTCTTCCCCAGAGGGAGGGAGATGGTCTGTGGACCACCTTTTTGTGGTCATAGACCTCTTTTCTCGTTTGAAGTCTAGTTTCTAGTTTTCGAAGCCTTCGGCCGCGCGCTTTGTCTCGGGACTGCTTAACGTCCTCCGTTTGGCTTGGTTTTTTG